GGGGTGTTGGGTTGACGGTTGGACTCGATGATCTTAAGGTCTTTTCCAACCCAAACAATTCTATGATTCTAACAACATCTTTTGTGGGCAGGAATGGATGATTAAAGGAAAAAATGAAAATCAACAAATTCCATCTTTAAAAAGAGCTAAGGGAGATACCATTTCAAGAGGATGCTGAATTGAAAATCACACTAGATCTATGGTATCAGCTTTATACATTATTGTAAACTACACCAAGGGAAGACACAGCATACATACCTGTGCTTTTAAACATGTATGTTGGTATATTTTTACTGTATCTCATTCAGCACATATAATGTGTTTGTGGACAGACTTCAACTCTCATTCTGACCTAGACCTTCAATTCAGGATTGAAATCAAACAACCAAATTTACCGACACAGCCCCCCCCTCAAACTGTCTCCTCACATTCATAATACTGGCATCTAAGCAATTTCACTTATGACCATACCACCAGTAAAGCCACAGCTTTTGTTTTGACAACACGCAATGCTTTGGTATACACCATATACCTAATCATTGCGCTGGGATCAAATCACCCTGGAACTATACTCTATCCAATGAAACATAGACCATGGGCCCTATGAAAAGAAAACAAATGGCAAACTATTGATATAGATGCATGCGTTGTACGGGAATACCAGGGATTCATTTGCGAAAGTAATACCATTAAGGCTCAAGACGTTTGTCTTGACACTGAACAAAATGTTTGTCATTTTGAAATACATCCTGATGAAACTCCTGAAACTGTACTTATGTATGTTGGAAACAGATGCGTTTGTATGAGAACCCTTTGTGATTCTATACTTATAGACAATACCACCGTGGAGATATGTAATCACTCAAATATCTGTGTTTGTAATTTTATGAAAATTGTAGGATGCGATTTTAACTACTCAGCTCCTGTCACGACTTAATTGCTACAATCAAACTACACAGCTTACCATGACTTACGGCCTACCCCCATTGGAATGAATCTTACATTGGTGAGAAAACTGCTACAACGGGATGACCTGAATCAATTGCTAACACGAATTTGAGACAATGGACAAAAAAACCCCTAATGACTGTCCATCATGATGCAGAAAACATACACCATACCCTGGAAAGAGTGAAGAGACATAGAGAACAACACTGGTGGGATAACTTATTCGGAAGGTAACTGACAACAACAAGAACTTTCAATCGAACGTTACAGCCTGTGATAATTCTACTCATTTCTGTTATATTATGATTGTTGTTAAACTTTGTTCTATATATTAGAATGTGGAGGACAGCCAGACAAACATCACTGTCACAGAAACCTCCTCACATATATAAGATTGCTTAATTATATCTATCAATCATTTAGAATTAAGCAAACCTACAAAAAATTTCCCTCAAATTACAATTGGAACACGGCATTGATCTGTTTATAGTCACGGAGGCAAGAGGCGACCACCCCGCCACTCCGTGAGAGGGAGATGGATTGACTTTTGTCAGGGGTGGAATGCGGTGGTGCATTTCTTCCCCCTTTCCAGGCTGATTTAGGAACTCGGGACGGCTCGCTAGCCCTTAGCATAAGTGCAAGGAGTGGGGCGGTCCAGCGACCCTTGGCCGTGCCAGGAGCTCCGACCCAGCCGAGGCAGGGAGATACGCCGCGCGTCTCAAGGACTCCTGCTGCCCGGCGGAGGCGGGGGACGGGACGGCGATAGCCGGTTCTCATCACCACCCGCAGCCCGTTCTCATAACAACCTTGAGACGTTACAGCCCTCCCCTGGCCATCTCAGAGCATCCCGTGTCTGCGTCTCACGTTCTTCGCAGGCAGCCTCGGAATTTTCCAGCGCCGCTGGGGTGCCAGCGGTTTGCTGATGACTAAGGTCAATCATCTCCTGAACCTATAAGCAGCGGTGCTGAGCGAGGCCCTTTGAGCTCTCCCGGACCGCAGCGGGCTGCGACCAGCACCTCCCTCCGAGCAGGACGCCTCTCGGAGCTCCCAAACCGGACGGTTTGAGAAAATCGGAGGTCTGCCGCCGAAAGCCGACACGGCCTGGGCTGATTCTCTCCGCTCCTTGAGGCTCGGCCCTCCGCCCGTTGAGAAAGATGCCGAACCATTTGACGTGAACCTTTTCACTGACATCGAGGGGAATTTTTAACAGGTAGACCTCTCTTACTCTCTTGTTTGTGTATCTCTCAGTGTACTAACCTGAATAGGCTACGATAAGCATATTATAGCAAGTGTATTATAAGTTACTACTTTCAAATTTATACTTAAGTTACTGTCGTGAATTCCATTCAACTCTGAATAAATTTTAGGCTGCTATCATACTCATAATCCCTTTAGATATAAACCGTTGCCCAAGTCTGGGACTAGGAGTCGATCCAGCCGCACCTAGACTCCGACAGGAGTTTAGAAAGCAAGGGGGTCTTCTCCGAACCTCGTGACTCAACGGGAGGGTCTCCCCTACTTTTCCACATTCCCGACCTTTGCACAAATCGCAAGAAATTAATTCTAACTCGATTTTTCTTTGTAATATTTCCTTTTACCCTATTATGTTTTGGTCTCTATATACCTAAGTTTAGTCTGATTTTAACTTCATTTTCCTGAGTGCATTTCATCCATGTACTAAGTAATAGAGTGAACCTTGTCATTGAATTCTGTGAAGTCGCAGTTCTATATAAATTCCTATTAAATCAGTTTCCTATTGCTAATACAATTGGAGGCGATGCTTTAAGCAATCCGAACTCATGTCTCTCTCATTTCCCCCCCCACGACAACATCCTGATCTTCTAGGCATGCTGAAACGCCTTCGACACGATTTGCTGGATTACAAAATCTGTAACAACACTGATAATAAATGGAATTGGCATCTGAATTCACTCATGCTGGAAAGCAGAGTTTAGCAGAAGCCTTTCTGCAGGCTCAGCTGGGAATATCTGTGGCAATTATACCCTTAACTAACATTATTAAATCACAGAGCCAGAACCCCAAAAGAAATATTTCATCCCTGTCTCAGCATAACTCTGGACAATCCAATTCTACTTCTTTAACCCCTTTCTTCCTATCTGTAGTGTGGACAAAACACCTACCTGAAAAAGGTGTTTTGAGATAATTGTTTCTAAAGAAGTTTCAAATTACCGGATGGAAGCTGCTATCAAAATACAAAATACCAGCATTTTTATATATGTTCCAAAAACATAAGTCTCAAAAAAACCTTATTCAATAGGGAGAAGTGTCTGGACCAAGCTTCACATATTACTTGTAGGTGACCGTAAAGAAGTCAAAGACATTTCTCCCTTTCAGTGACTAACTGCAAGCCAGTTTAAGCGCAGACATTTTAAGGTTAGAAAGAACAACTGATACACAGCTTCAAAGGCATTTACTTCATATGTTTTATCATCTGCAACACTCAGAAGATTTTGGTTTACCTGCCTCCAGTTCCTAAAAGATGCAGAATGTTTAACCAAGTTGTATTTTTAGAAATGCTATTAAAAAAAAATTCTGTAAAAATACAGATTTCTGATAATACCTTGTACATATATAGCAATGATACATAATTTATTTCAACCTGCAAAAAAAATCCTTTGTTCTCCTCCCACAGAATATTTACAAACATACATTCTTTGACAAAGATCCAGATTGTTAAATATCATACCAGTGTTTGCACCATATGGGGCCTTTGCAGTCTTAAGCTCTTCACAGCTTGAAATACATCTAAGAGCCCTTCAGCCTTCACTCGTTCCAGAATATTGCTGAGTGCTATGAAGGTACCTGTTCTTCCAGCGCCAGCACTGCAACGTAAACACATTTGCTTACCATACAGTAGGATAAAAATGTTAGAAGAGAAATAATAGTGATATAGAATAGCTAAATACTACTATTAGCCAACTTCTACTAATTTTTTTTTTGCTTATTTTGTCACCTCAGCTATGCTAGAAGGGAGCCAGAATTAATGGAAATTAACTCAGAGCCAGGCTGGAACGAATAAAGGCTCGTTAGCGACAGCTTCTGTACACAAGCAGGAGATCCTGAGCTGGCTGCGGCAGCACGTGGACCCCCTCAGCCAAAGCCTGGGACTCAAATAATGAACTGGCAAAGCTGCTTACTCAAATCTGCATTCGCTTTCAACAAAGACAACTTTCGGTGCTCCCACGCTCTGCTTTGTGTTTTAATCTTGATGGAGGAGAACACAATCTTTAGACTTTCAGTTGCAAAACTTGGTTATAATGCAAAGAAGCACTGTGCGACCAAACCCACATTTTTCTATTAGGTTGTGATTTATACTTCTGCATGGTGGACAGATACAAAAGCATTATTATTATTATTATTATTATTATTATTATTACTCCTCCTCCTCCAAAGCAGTTTGATGGAAAATGTCCTATCCAACTGTAATGATTTTAATGCCTCTTAGGATCTTAAACACATGTATTAATATAAGGACAAACTAAAGCAAGACTACATATGAGGCTATAGTACAGACAAGAAACTAAAATCAACTGTTCTGCCTCTGTCTTGACTACAATAAGCAACCTAATGTACTCCAAAGTAACTGTGGTTTCTTTTGTTTCAGTATGTTTGACTCAGTATTTTGTCCTTACATCTGTTTCAGGTCACAATTCTGTGGAACCAAAAAATATTTCAGTAATTATTATCTGATTTATTATGCTTAACTCTAGGAAAAAATAAAAATAAAAAGAGATTTCTTTCTCTCGCCCAATTGCACTAATAAGGAACTACTTGACACCAAAACAGTGGTTGTACACTTGAAAGCCAATAGCTTTGACAGGGAATAGTTACTAAAACCTGGACGGGATTGGGATATTGGCAGTCAGTGCTAAGATGGAGTGGAAGGTTCACTGATTGCTGAATAAGGATGAACACAAAATTTATTAAATTAAAAATTTTCATGGGTTTTAACCGAAAGTAGGTGAATTGTAATCACCTGTCATTGCTTCTACCTTATTTCTATCAAATGCAACAGAAATCTGATAAGCACAAGCCTTATGAAAAGATAAAGTTCAGATGCGTGTATCCTCGACTGGATACATTAAAAGTCTCGTTGGAGGAAAAATGAACAGGTACAAGGTATTAGAGGTGTCATTCCCTTTAGACAATTACTTTTATCAGATTAAAGACAAATACAAAATCGAAAAGGGTTCAGATTTATTTGTAATTAGTTAATCTCTAAGTAGCCATCTGTGGTTTCTAGAGTAACCCATGAGTGATGCATTTTGGCATAGGTCTACAACTATCAAAAGATGAGGACGTGAAGACGTAAAGTAAACCTGTACACACACATCATCACACACGTTGCTTATTCATTTATGCCTAGGAAGAGGGAGATATGCACTGCTTTGCACTCCATTTTTAATGCTTGTGCTAGGCTCACTCTCCTTTTTTCTTCTGAAAACAAGCTTTTAGCAAATCCTTAAAGCCCATACAAGTTGGGGTTTTTTAATTAATTTAAGAATTTTTAGTATGGATGCATGGAAAACTAAACTGCGTTTGAAATGCAGGAGAAAATATGTATTGTCTCATGGGAACACAGCACTACTCTTTGCATACTTGCTTCTCTTTCTGCAATTCCCTCAAAAAAAAAAAAAGTTAAGAAAGGTAACTTTTAAATTTAACTCAAACTTCATTTCTTGAGACAGAAAGTTCGGGGGCAAAGGACACGCAGAATGGGCAAAGACTGGGCAAAAGACAGAAGTAAGGTATCTCTAAATAACACATCAGCCTTGCATAGTTTATTAGAGCATGGAAAGGAGGAGATAGTGAAGAGAGAAAAAGCGTGGGTAGCCACGAACTAAACAGAAGGCAGCTGCAGACACACGCTGGAAGAGAAGGGAGTTAGGATTTAGAACAGATTGGCTTTCAGTTCTGTTGGCAACTCAGTTAGGAAAACCCTTCTAAACTATTTAGGGTTATGTCTCGATTCTAGTTAAGAATTATCTTGTTTAGCAGCTCCTTAAACTGTTTGTAAATAGTCAGAAAAAATGAACAGAAGTTTTCACAGGTTCATGTGAACACTCTGAGAAATCAGTCTTAGACTTGAAATGTGTTTACTTATTCATAAGGTTACATTCATTTATATTTGAAGACTCTAGTATGACTTCACGGAGAAGTTCAAGTAACTCAAAAGCTGTGATGTACAGGCTGCCCCAGTCGGGACAGGGGAGAATTCTCAACGTTAAAAATCCTAGAATACCTCGTGTGGTTTGGGTTTTATTTTCTTGTTTAATCAATTTTAAAATGATTGCAGTAGATTTAAAAAAAAAAAAAATCTAGGTGAAATGCATGCCAAATGATTAAGCTAAGGCTTCAAAGAGGCTGCAGGTCTAAAAGCTTGAAAAAGCAGAAGCAATATATACCTCAGATAGTTCTTGTGCATCTAATTTGTGCATACCAAAGACATTAGTTTTTATCTCTTATTTTACCAGCTAGAAATCCCTGATATTCTACTCGCTTTTAATTATTCAGAATTTTAACTCTCTAGCAAGAAGTGGCTGTTAAAATCTGCCAAATTGCAGAATCAAACACAAAATGTCATCATTGCCCTCAAGTGCAGCCACCACGGGGTGGGAGAACCCACAGTCCCCTCGGGAAAATGTATGAAAACAGCAAAGAGCAAAACACTTCCGAAGCAAGGAGGACAGAGTTTTAGCAACGAATATGCATTGCTACAAGATCATGTCCCAAAACACAACAAATCCGAGTCCCGGCTCAAGTTCTCAAGATCTCTTTGCTTTCAACAGCACATGAAAAATACAGGTGACGTTGCAGGCAGCCAAACACAAACCATAGTTCTCAGAGACTGACACAGCACCTTTGAAACTCAAATCAGAGCAAAATAAAAGTCAGTATATGCTGCAGAGAACAGCTGTAATATGCCCATTCCTACTTCTAACTCTAGTAGAGCAAGCAGACAGGTTCTTCTATCAAAATACTTCCAAATGGTCAGTGAGTCTACTTCCATGTAGATAATGCTACAAGAACAATTTAAGTGTCACATAAATCAGTATAGCTTTTTTTTTTTTCAGAAGAAAAAAATAATCAGTCACTCCTTCAAAAACAGATGGATATTCTCTGAAATGCAGGAAAAAATCCAGAAGCAGCATCATATTATTTAGCTCACTGACAAGAGGTTGGGGAAGCTTATCCACACAGTAGTCAGTCGTAAGGGGTCTCTATCACAGCGTAGGTGCCAAGTATTTCTCAATAGTGGGATCACAGACAGGTAGAGAAAATATCAGAATTAATATAACTGATGGTTTTAGCTAAAAAGATGCCAGGAACTTGACCTCCATGTATTGCTAGAATATAACCAATGGTCCCGCAAAACCAGTTTATCTTGTACAACACACCCAAAAGGAAAAGATGTAAAAGGCCAGTATTTAGAATGAATTAAATAATTGATTTTCAGGGCAATCGGAGATAAAACAATGATTGGTTTTTATGTTGTGCTTGAGCCTGTGAGCTTCAACTGCAAGAGAGACTCTATTGCAGAAGGTCTTACATGAGCAGAGTACAGAGGGATGTGGCCTCTGAAAACTCTCACGCTGGGTAAGGGCAGCTGGGAGTCACTCAGTGCATCTCCCAGAACAGGTCCAAGAAGGCCACAGCAGGAAAGAGGTTAATGTCAAAGGGTGACCTCCCCAGGTTAATAGCTTCTTATTTAAAAAAAAAAAAAACCAAAACAAAACATAGGAAATTCTCTTCTGGGGGCTCTGAAACCCTGCTGATCCTGTCCCTGTGTACTGTGAGCTTGACTTTGTATTGACCAGATAACAGGAAAAACTTTACTGATTTACAAAATTTAAAATATTTTAAAAGCAAGGTATGATTTCTGAATTAGGAAAAGGCAGAATACTAGTTTTACTACTACTTTTTTTTTTTAAATCAGCAGATGTAGTAAAGAAAGAGAAAAGACAAGTTTAAAAGACTGATAAAAAACCCCACAGTCTGAAAAATATGATTTGAAAAAACAGAGGAAAAGCCCAATGTATACGTTAAAAAAAAAAAAAAAAAAAAGTTGCTGTAATCAAAACGTAAAACCAAAACCAAAAAGTGAAAACCTGGCATACGACAAATATTTTCTAGTTATCATGTATCAAGTCAAGTCATACACAATCTACCTCTTAGCATTAATGTAAATACTGTTTTCTCTCTGCTTTCAAGGACAGGAGTAGATTTTCCCTTCAGCTTAGATTAGGGATATATTTTATTCTCCTGATAGTTTGTAAAAACAAACTGCATTTTGATCTTGATAGAGCATTTGGGCACTATATTGGTGGGATATACTACACATCACTACAATAAACCTACAGCTTTACTTTCCTAATCACAGCATTTAGGAAAAACTCAGGTACAAGACTACAACACCCCAAGTTACTAATGCATTTGTTTACCCGCAGCCATTAAGGCTACCATTAAGGTATTCACTTTGCTAATTCAGCCAAAGACAAGTCAAAAATCCTTTATGCAATACTAGATTTTCTTTTTTTCTCTCTTTTTCTCTTATTTCTTAATTTTAATGTATTTTTTTAAAGGACGCAGTCTACTCTCTCCTGAAGGAAAACTGCCATAAAAACAACCAGACTGGAGAGAAAGCAAGCCGGTTCCTTAGCTAATGGTGGGAAGAAGAGGCAAGTCTTACCTGCAGTGCACGGTAATCGGGTGATTGCCTGTTTGCTGCTGCTGCTTTTGGACAGCCGCAATCAGGTCGATCATCCCTTTTCCTTCTGCAGGAATCCCAATTTCTGGCCACCCGTGGAAATGGAACTGCCGAACAAGCCTGCTTTGCTTCTCCTGGTTACCCTGCGTGCAGGAAAAAACACCAGATTTATCCAGCTGTTACTTCAAAATGGAAACACGCTTCTTACCTTAAACATTTGTAGCGTTAAATTTTGCACCGCTGTAGTAGATGGGGCTATTTGCAACCTGGTCCATAACATACTGGTCCTGCAGACCTGACAGTTCTGCTTCTAAATTCCCCATCCGCTATGCTGATAATTCATCCCTATAATTTTCTTTTTGATTTGCACAGCGGTTTCATCTCGGTATTGCTAAGGACACACTTAAAGATTATTCATCCTGAGTGCCAATGGTTGAAAGCTTTCATTGTGCATAGGCCAAATGCAAAGTGCCAGTAAAACAACCCAATTCATAACGCACTCGTCTTTGCACAACACTACCTGCTACTTTGAAACTTAACGATTAATTTGCCTTATCTTTATCCTTGCTGATTAAAAGCACACTGAAAGTTCAAATAAGTATTAATACCATGCTAGTGCAGTTAGCTCCAGACAGGTTTGGATGCACAAAAGGCTCTTCATTTTAACTATCCTGAAATTTGTGCTTGCTGCTTCCCATGACTGCATTATAATAGCATGTGGATGCAACATTAATATTCTGGCAATTTTACTACATGTCCTTAACTCTTGCAAGTCACAGAGAGTTGAAAACACGAGGTCTCTGCTGATGCCAGGTGCTTTCAACGTGTCCACCATAGGGGACATCTGGTGAATGAGTTTGATGGGGAGTCTCAGGACGCTGCTTTGTACTGGAAGCCTGGAAGATGTCAGCATTACGAGGAAAAAGGCTTGGTCAGTCCTCCTTCCTCCCAGCTCTGCAAGAGATCTTTTAATGTAATATTGCTTCAAATATCATTGATGTAGTCTAGCAGGACTCGGGCACAATACAAAAGTTTCTCAGATTTCTTAGATCTGCAGCAGCAAACACTTCTAACGATGCTGGATTGTAGTGCAAAAATGTTGCTGCTTGGATATTACCTAAAATGCTGTTACTTGAGTTTTAAATACTTTGCAATGTGACCTAAGTCAACACATTGACAAGGACTCTCTGCTTTGCGAAGCACGGTGTGTATTCATGCCTAATGCCTAATCCACCACCCTCCCTCATAAGGAAATACAGAGTACTTTTAAATTTCAGTCCTTTTTCTTTGCATGTGCCTAAATTACATGCAGTGCAGTAAGTAGTTAAATGAATGATATTCTCAACTGCAAGTAAATTTTTTCTCTTTTTTTTTTTCTCCAAAAACAGCAATGCAAATCAGGTCCTAAAGAAATGATGCAGTGAGTGAGGAGATGCACGCCCAAAAGATCAAAACCAGGTTTTGAGTAGATCGTGCCTGTAGCAGAGAAACATAAAGGAAGAGCTGGTAGGCAGAGGCAAGTACATGTGCTGTAAAATGCTTCATAGGATTTAAAAATCTTGAATCAATTTTTCTTTTATAGATATGTGGGAGATGGTAGAAAATAAAAGAACAACAGCAACAACAAAACATAAAAAACCCCCAAAACCCACATCCAACTTCGATCAATGACATGTTTCACTGACCAGAATTTTCATGGGACTTTAGGCAAAAATGTTTCATATAAGCTCCCTCTTGACTGATACAATGTTGGATGTTGATTAACCACATTTATCTTTAGATAAAAATTGCAGCATTTAAGTTACATAATCATACTTGCAAATGCCTTCAAATGCAAAAATAACCCCAAACCCTCATGTAATTTAAAACCAATACCTGATTGTACGTAACTATGAAGTCCCTTACGCTTATGGCATCTAACAGACTGTCATTCTTTATTTCTACAGTTATCTCTCCGTGAGTTACAGAGCCCTCTGATGGCCAGTACTGGCAGCACTTTTCCTGCAAAATTGAAAGAGAACTGTAAACATTCCTTGACATTTTTTCCAGTTACCTACACTGTCATGAATCTCTGATATAGGAGGTGACATACAGCATAATAAACGCATTCTAAACACTTTGTAATGAAAAGGCTACTAACCAAGAATACAGTAATAAAACATTTCTGTAACATAAACTGTTAAGATGAAAAGGGCTTAGGAGTCATAGATGGCAAATACGGCCTTTAAAACAGATTAGAATAAAAGAAGTAACTCCTGAAAGCAACGCAATGTTGCCTCCCAACGCCACCAGCAAAACACATTTCACAGCACTACAACACCCTGGTTGCAGCGTTGAACCCTGAATCTTCGAACTGCAGCACATGGAGGTATACAGGACTTAATTAATTAACGATGTACTAGGGGAGGTTCAGAACAAGCCACTGGAGCTTATACTGGCAGAACAGGGAGGGAAGTTTGCACACAAGCTGTGTCCATCTGTTCCCAAATCCCAAACCACTGTTCCGTGTCAGGCATCCCTATAAATTCTGTGCTTTTAATGTGAACTGGGCCCTTTCACAAACCATAATTTTCAGTAGTTTTGGAGGGTTTTCTGACAACTCAAGCAAAAGCAGCAACATCGGCCCACACCAAACAGTGAAACAAGAGCTTCTTTTGGGAAAGGCAAAAAATCTCATATCACTAGAATTTGTAGGCAACAAATAGTTTATCTAATATTAATGCCCACAGTTTACAGAGCAACTGCTTCGCTCTGGAGCTGGCAGCCGCGGGACACGTACCTGCTCCCTCTCTTGAACTTCTGTGAGCATAACGATGGTGTGGCACTTCCATTCCCACACCATCCGCCAGAAATCCTCCACCGTGTGCGGAAGTGGTCCCTGGGTGGCAATGAAGTAATCCTTCTGGCGATAGCCCTGCGGAGAAAGAGCAGGATCCGCTTACGTCGCGACATACGAGCAGAAGTGACGGAAGGGGATGGTGGGAGAGGAGATCGCCACTTCAACTGGTGCTTCCCGTCAGCCCCGCTGCTCGATACCGTGATGGGTACTGCAAACCTGGTGATGCTGAGCCCACCCCATTCCTGCTCGTTGCCAGAAACGCAGGAAAAAAATCCCCCAAATTCACAATCCTGAGTTGTATTTTATGACTCTTTACAGTCATGGCTGAAGGGATGAAATTTTGTGGTAAAAAAGGTAACTGAAAGGATTTCACAAGGAGATTATAACAACTGCAGCAATTAGCTTTACTACAGAATTAACATTTAACTCAATTTTTGAGCTACAGTTCTATTTACATACTGATGTGATCATCACAGCTGTAGTGTCCACAATCCTCAATCACTAATGGGGTTTTACTGCTTAAGGATATAATTAATTCTCATATTAAATAAAAACAAGACACAGTGGAAGGTGTTGCCCAGGTTCCAACAGGAAGCTGGGAAGAAAGTTAGGAATTAATGCAGGTCTGCCCAGGTAAACCCTGGCTCCCAAACACTGTGACAGGCTTTCCCCGTGCTAAATACGGACTTTTCTTTTCCCTTTCCTCAGATGAGCACATGTTTACATCAGTTTTAACCTGAACGCAGATAATGGAACTGTTGGATGTTAGTTGTATAGCTAATTTGTTTTGCTGCCTGTTCGTTAGGATTTAATAAAAGCCTTAGTCTATAAATCTAACAACAAGAAGAATATTTAAATTACACAACCATTTAAACTGAAATTGAAAACATCAGATAAGAAATGCATTTGGAAACTCTCATAAGCCAAACCCAAACAAAAAAGCTAATGTTCTTCATAAGCCAAGTTGATTGTGTTTCTCTCTAAAAAGACTTATCAGCAACAGCAAAATATCTGACTTGCAATATAAATACATTGAAATTTTTCATACATACATCTATGAAGGAAGCATTGATGTAGTCTGTATACTCTTGCCCTCGTTTCATCGACAGAATCACTCTATTAAAATCATCTGGAAAAAAGAAAAAAAGTCTAGTCTTACTTTTGCTAACTGTATGTTGACTGCTCTGCTATTACATTTGTGAAAGAACAAAACCAACAAAATCTTTTCTCTGAAAGCCAAAGAGCATCTAGATCTTAGCCAGGATTTAGTAAGTGTGTGGAGGAGGGCGCAAGTTTTTCTGCTGTTGTTTTTCCTTTCACACAGGATACGGCCAGCAAGGTCTGAAACTTTCATTTTCAGGTGCAGACATGACAGTGCTGCTCCAGACCGTGCAAGGAATCACTCAGAAAATACGTTGGTTTAAAAGGTGAGACTGCTGAATTGTTTAATTCAGTCTTGAAAATACCTGATCGTAATATATTTTACACAGATCAAGTAAAAAACAATTCATTAAATTCTTTGCAGACACTTCATAAGGGAATTACATTTAAAAGGAGAGGATAGTGCTGTTTGTATCAGTAAGGTCTCTAGAAACTGCAGAGCAGACATGCCTGCAGAGAGGACAACAAAACCAAGGGGATGGCTAAAGGAAACACCCAAAAGAACATGTTCTAGCTAAAAATGAAGCAAAACTACCACTGTGGGCAGTACAACAGGTTTTGAAAGAATTTGAATTTCACAGGCAGAGAAGTTAAAACTTTTTCTCTTTAAGACATAGGCAGTAATTATTTGCAGAATTCCAGTTTCCAAATCCAGGCAGGACCTCTACCCTTGGGTGATCCCAACAGAGCTGTATTCTGAGATGAGCTGAGTTGTTGTCAACATATAGATACAGTGTGTGTACTCACAACAGCCTTAGGATAATTGCGTATTTATAGCACTTGTTTCTATATATAAAAAGTTGATCTCTTACATGGGATAATCTGGATGACTCTAGCTTTCTTCATATTTGCTGGAAGATTGCCAGTTCTCATGTTTTCTTTCATTATTCGAACATTTGTCAACTTCTGTAATAAAACACACAAACGAGGATGAGAACCCATTGGAACAGAAGCTGTTCTCGCTCACCATATCCTGTACTCAGAGGGTTCCTAAGTGTCTTCATCGGGTACAAAACACTAACACAGTCAAAGCGAGACTGACTTTTCACAAAAGCCACTTCCTTGTCCTGTCTACAAAAATGAATTAAGAATAATAGTCATGTATTTTTTTCATACTGATAAATATTTCAGAATCTGAACATACTCCCAAGGCATATCAATAAAGTTTAAGGGCTGTAAAATGAGAGCAGATTTTAACATTTTGGGTCTGTGTGGTGTTTTTTTTTTTTCTTAAGACACTTTTGGACCATCTGAACATGGCTTTCAGAAGCACAGAGTACCCGTTCCCTTTGAAAAAGCGTAAGTTTCTTAAATTTGACATTTGGAAATTTAGTTCCATAAAATAAGCCACTTTTGAGAATACCTTTTAATAAAAAGGTCTGCGTACCATTTTATTGAATTAGTTTTATTTTTTTCTTGCCAGCCTTTCCATAAGAGGAGGCAGACTGACCAGCAGACTGACCACCGTTGGTCTCCCGCAGCGGCAGCCCCCGATCAGGAGCTTTCCCAACAGGCACTCCAGCCAGCCAGGCACTGCAGGAACAGACTTTTCATTTCCACGTTGTCCTCAAGTACTGAAAAACCCCCTCTTTTATTGACTTCACTTCCTTTATGGTCAAAACGTGAACTGATTTCATATTCATATTAATTTCATTCATGTTACTATTATTACAATCCTGTTCAGAGTATTAAAACTCTGGTCCTTTAGTCCTGGACTGTGCTTTCCCTGCGGCACAGCACCCTGTTTCTGGCACAACAAGGTGCACGACTTTATGGACTGCTGTGCACCAAATCCTGCAACTTGGCTCTATACGTCTTCAAGATTTTGCTACTGAAGGGACCGATATTCCTTATTATTTATTCAGTTTGTGCTGACAGCATTCCCAGGGCACAGAAGACAAACAATGCTCTTGCCCCAACAATTTTTTTATAGTATAGATTACACACCTGCAAGGTAACACAACAATAATAAGCTTCTTCTGCTGGGGTGGGACTTACCAGGAGACAATCATAGTTACACAGTTGCATTTCAGCAACTATTTAATATCAATTCAATTTAAATTAAAATTAATTTAATTTTCAAACTGCCAAGCAGATTTTCAGGCATGTATTTGCCAGGTACTGATTTTCAGAAGCACATCTCAATTCTAGTAAAATCTCTAATACCAGCAACAAACTATTAGAAAACAGAACCCTACCCTCTGAGAAATCACTTTTCAGCTACTCTGTAATACTGCATTCATAGACTTTATGTCAGAGGCTCTCATACTGGTTACAACATAGCTCTACTCTTTTTTGGCGTAGGAGGGCTCAGCGCTCCTGGGCCATCTAAGTGCTTTTCAGAATACACAGCAGAACTAAGCATTACTCTCGGCACTTTAATGCAGCCTTGCTGGCACAGTGGACAGCAAAAACAAACTTAGGAATTCTGGAAAGAGTAGAATATTTGATGCTTTCATTTGCTTCCTTCCCTCAGACAGACCAATACTTTCGATTTTTTAACTTGTTGCTATATCGTCAGACTTATTTTTACATAATTTTGTTTTCCCAGTTCCCAATTTCTGATCAAATTAATCCTGTAAAGGAAAGTGAGAACTCCAGTTAACACCTGTATGTCATTTAATGCTTCAGACCTAAATATAGAATAAATATTTTAGCATAGCAAAAGTTACACAAAAGTTCTAACTATTTCCTCCAGACAATAAAATCTGTTTTAAACAATGATAACAAACAGCCAGTGTGGTTGCTTTCTGCATTTGGGGTTTCTCCACTAAACAGAAATGCCTTTTTTTTTTTCTTTTCCTTCCTGACAGGTCTGGATATTGAACACAAGATGTGTAAATTCTCTGCAATTCTTTCTGCTGTCAGTCACCACTGAGTTAACAATCCCACTGAGATGCAAATTAGATGCACTTAATCCAGCTCCCTCTTCCAGCATTATCTGATCTGGCATCTAGCACCAGACCAAAAGAGTAATCCCATTTTTCTTTTATAAACAAACAGAAAGCATATAGGAAAAGGGCCGTAAAAGGACGTAGCTTTGAACGAGCATTTGCAGAACAGGATGTTAAGCAAGGCCCATTCACTGACTCTGCAGGATTCATTCACAGCAAGCACAAAATAAAACAAGCAGTTCCGTTTTGATGGACCTTTTCTTTTAAGGTTACACTTTTCCTGCTTTTGAAGTATCTTTTTGGCTTAAATGTTTCCACACTTAGAAATCCTTTGGCAAAGGACTTTCATACTTACTTTAAATTCTTCTTCTAGCCCTATTTTGACGAGGTTTGGCGCCGCGTTGTGTGATGTTTGTAGATGTTTTTCTAAGGATGACACATCTAGCTCCGTGTCACCGTAGAGGTAGTATTCAAGTAAGGCTTGATAAATGAAGGAGTATTGCATCTGGAATGAACAAAGAGGCAGATAAGCATACTGCAAAGCAAGGAAGTGAAACTACAAATTCTGGCACTTTCATCTATCTCATTTGGTCTACAATCTACTAATTATCAAAACATACCTTAAGCTAAAACAGTGTTTTCCTGTTACATCGCTCACACTCTCTAAACTTCCACTCTCGTGTGCATGGGGAAACCTGGCCATGATACTTAAAGATAACACGCCTTACAGCAGTCTTCACAGCCCTAACATGCCTCCATCTTATTCCCCAATGCCATCCTTATACTGGGCTTTGTTCATTTTCCAATTATCCAGGTGGGCAACAGAATGGGACATACTGGGATGCATATCAGAGTAGAAGCACAGAAGCATATTCTTCTTTGACTGTGAAAAGTTGTAGTTTCAACTGATTAAAGTCCACTTACGTCAGTCTGAACCATCTGCGGACGCTGATTACGGATTCTTGAAACAAATTCAAAAACATCAACTTTCTGTTCCGCATGCATCATGTCTATTATGGCATCTATAACAATAAACGTCCCTGTGCGACCCACACCAGCGCTTGAAAAGGAAACAAAAACAAACAAACAAAAAAGATCAACTGAATTACAGGAATTGCTACAGCAATGACACGGGTAGAACTTATGCCATTTATACGGGACTGAAACATAAAATTTCATTTTTTATTTTAACAGTGATAGCAAAATAAAAAGTTGTGTGAGTTTTTAACATAAAAAGTCACCTCTTAACAGCTCAGAAATGATGACATCAGCATTATATTAGAAAAGACAGTTGGAAAAGAATTGTGCTTGACCAACTATAATAATTCAGTCTAAGATGAAATTTTAAATATTTTTCTTAATTTTTAGCTCTTTTCTGCATGGTTGCTGTTGCACGCTGCTTAGATAACAGCTACTTGTTACAAGTTCTACACGTCCTAACGCTGCCATCCCAAACTATTTTTTTTCTTTTTTAATAGCCTTCAAGAGCCACAAGAGGGAGCACGATCATTATAAATTACGCTACTCCCGCGACTTTCAGCTCTTCCTTTCAGAGGAAAAGGGCATGGCATCCTGTGCTAGGCATTAATAGCTCTCCTTTAACCTTCTGTTAGCTTACTTTGTACAGCAACTGCTGTAATGTCCACAAACACCTTCCGAAACACGACAAAAATCTCTCCCCCCCACCCCGGTGTGCTCAAAGATACAGATAAATTTTCAGGAAGGAAACATGAGGTTTTAAGTACCACCAGAAAAAAAAATGATTGCATGAGTAATATGACTTAGTTCATGTGTACACACACACACTTTTACCAGCGAATGCCATGTGTTTGAAAGCAAAGCCCCCGAGCCCTCCTATTCCAGAGGTCCGGAGGGACGATGGAGACGAGCAGACCCACGAGTAACACAGCCCTCCACCAAAATGTCACGCAACTTCTTTGCGGTGAACGAGCCCACTACCACCTTCTGCCTCCAAATCCCTTTGCGTTTCACCATCGGTTTGGCAGGCTCCCCTCTCTCCTCGCCCAGCCACGTCCCGCTCCAACGCTCCCACCCGCCGGTCCCCTTGGCCATTGACCACGGGCCACCGCAGCTTCCAGCCCACGCTGGCCATGGCTCCCTGCCCTCTCTCTTCCTTTCATTCATGTTTGACCTCTGCCACTGCGGACGAGTCCGCCTCGAGTCCTACCGTCTCGACTCTCAGCTGACAGAGATTTTCCTCGTCCTGACACCTCCTGGAAACCACCTCTGACCATGGGTCGCTCATCGCCACTTCACACTTGTCCTTCATTCCTCAGTCCTGTGAGTTTTCACCCACGGAGCCCCACGCTCATCTTCCTCACTTCCCTTTCCTTTACAGATACGATCCCTCTTTATACATCCGTGTTCCCTTCCCGTGCCTCTGCCCCAAGGTTACCTGACTTCAGATCACTGCTTAATTCAATCCTTCCATGTTCCTGCTAAAGCTGGTAATTTCACCAGCCTTGACATTTGCCTGGGAAGTTCCCTGATTTTACCCATCCTTAACCTACTCTAGGGTATCGCTTACTCAGCTACTCCTCAACGTAGCTCTCTGCTCACTGGAAAAATGTATTGCTGAAAACTTCTGGAAAAAAAGAATTGGCAGAAAATCCTGCTTTCCCCCCAACCCGTTTTATCTGTTCTTCTTTACCTCCGAATGCTAAAGTAGTGTTTTATTAATTTCTGAAAGATTCTGACTGAGCAGTTTTCATCAGAATGACCGGGTGGTATTTTTATAAAAGCTCACTAAATATGGATGGTTACTCACTATCGATGAGTTTCCCTTTCCTTTTTTCAACAATTCAATAGTGTCATATCCTGAACTGTAACGGAAATTGTTACCTCTCGCGTTCTTTATTTCTAACGCAGGCTGAAGTACTGCACTAGCCCCCAGCACTGACACATAACGGTGTTATTGTGTTCTGTTGGACCATTATATTTAAATCTCTGCAGATTTTTATTAAGATATTTTATATTTTCCTTTATTTTGTCTCTATTTCTGCTGATTAAACTAAGTACAGAATTTCCTGCTGGTGCAAAATAAAGGTCAAGCCCGGTATGAGTCTCCACAGAACATCATGGCAAAAGGCTATACAAATATTGTGGGTTTTTCAAAGGCAAGACTATGTGAGACTATTAAAATCTTCTTTTTCCATTTAATGCTTTTTCTTTAAGCCTCTTACATATGACACCTGGGAGAGAAGATGAATCCTAGCAAGGCAAGATCTGGATGGAAACGAAGAAACAAAAAGGCTGGCTTGGTCAGGACAAACACGCTCTTTTTCAATAGTGCACACTTCAAGGACTCTTAAGAGAGTATTTCTAGATGTCTGATATGAGCAAGAGAATAAGAAACAAATACATGAATCTACAACCATTTCCTTAAAAACAAGACCCGTAAAGACAAAGCTGCTATTCTTTTCATTTTATTCTAACCTCACTATGATAATTGCTCCTGAAAAGACACTTCTTGCTCAGTTGTGAGCTTACAGTTGCTATAGAGATTGCAATTACTCTCTTAAAACTGATTTGGAGTTTGTTTGTGGTTTCATTAACATAAGGATTCAAAAAGTTTAGCACAAGCTTCTAATAGCAGGACATTCATGTGTATGTGACCGAAAGAGTGGGAATATGTTCTGTATTGGTATGTAGTACATTTCTAAAATTGCAGCATTTAAGTCTCTTAAATGCAAGTCTTTATTCAAAACTTTCCAGGCATTTAATGGATAATTTACATAGCAAACTGCAATTTTATTGTGGGAGAAGTGGGGGATGAATTCTCAGAGGAGCACTTAGTGACAAAGGTCACAGATTTGTATTACAAGTCTGTTTTTCTGACAGAAAGCGTATTTTTACCAAACACTGGATATCACTCATGGATAAAAAAAACCCAAAACAAAACAACAACTTCTGTTTGAGTATTGAAGCTACAGCAAAGAAAGATCTTTTGAAATTGTTTTTACCCTGGGCTCTCAAAAAGCTTAGCCTATTATTGCCCTTTACACATACAAATATAAATATGTAAGTAAATATATATACACACATACACAGACACACAAACTTCGCAGCCTATGAACAGAGGATTAAAATTTAACCTATTATACATGTAACTCCAGGCCAAGCTAAGAGAATGGCTGGAAGAGCACATACATACCTACAGTGAACAACGATTGGTCCAGCATGGGCAGGATTCAATGTTTTGACTTTTTTCAGGAATTTCAGCATCCCAATAGGTGTGAAAGGCACCCCAAAATCAGGCCAGCTGGTAAAGTGAAGCTGTGTAACGAGCCTCGGAGCTTTACAACCATCATGAAGCTGTGGAGAACACACAGACTCCGAGTTTGACATTTCAGTTTTCATGCAAAGATTTACAAACAAACTGCTGTGGTTATTTATGACTTTAATTCCTGCAACACTTAGAGCCTGACTGAAGGATTAGAAGTTCGCAGTGTATGTAAAATACAAACACAGGGTGAAATTACCATTTATTATTAAAATGCACCTCTGCAGTGAAAACTGGAACAATCCCAGGACAGGGTTGCAAAGAGTAAGACTCACAATTCATGTTAATAACAGATCAAATCCTAAGTCCTTTTCCACTTATAAAATCCTCACAACACTTCTTTAGAAGCCTCAGATGCAACTCACAAAATTCAGTCTAAACATTGGGGATGTGCATTGCTACGAGATGCCACATGCCAGCTTTTGCCAGGTCGCGTATGAAAAACAAAAGAAGGGCTGCACATCTAATGGCCAACTACTGACAGGTTCATGACCTGACCTACTCTCCAAGAATAAAAGAAGGTACTACAGAAGCAATGACAGCAGAGCTTAGCATCGTTTCACCTGCATTCACTAACCACAAAGTAACCTTAAGGTTAGAAAGCGTATCTGTCTCGCAAGCTTTACATCTGTTAGCCAGGGTCAAGGCCATTTCTTTCAAACTGGAGAAAGCCAATTGGTTTTGTAAGGTTGCCTGGTCTCCATCAATGGGTAACCAAACCCCACAAACACATACTCAGCAGAGATCCGACAAGTGAAAGGCAGCCGGGTCCATCCCTAAACTTCCCAGCCCTTCAGCTTATCTACAGTATGTACATCTCTGTACGGTTCCTTCTTTCCCATTCTGCTTTCTGAGCACAGTTTCCCTGAGCATTTTTATCAGCGATGCCTTATCAGCAATCACTAGTCACACCAAAGTGATCTCCACGCTAGATCAGTAGAGACTGCTTCACAGTTCAGAATCTGTAACTAATGCTGAATGAATCCACCCATATCTTGAGGGGCTCTGAGGTCTCCAGGTAGTTCTATACGTGGTTTATCAACTCTCGCCAGCCCATACTGTCTTCAGTCTTCAATCTCAAGCAGGCGGTCATTGCATTACAAACACAGCAGCCCTCCCTTTAGGGGGTGAGGATCTCTAGCAATTTGCTCCTGTACAAGGCTACATGCTGTGGACAAAAGCAAAGTCATCCCCGCCATCTCTCTTGTGATCTAAAGCTTTAACTTGTGCCGGAGACCAAGGACACAACAGAAATCAAGCTGTAACGCTGGCAGACATTGGCCAACTAATATCCACAGACTACTCCAAATACCCAAACACAAATTCACTCATTTATTTATCTATGCAATCTGCCCAAAAAAGGTCAAGACACTGCTCCTGAGCTCCCTCCCTGACAGTCACAAGGAATGACTTTCCGTGGCCCTTGGCTACAGACAAGAAGAAACCGAGCGGAACCTCTTGCAATCCATGAAAGCATAGCGGATGCTACGCGTGCTGACCTGCAGAGCTTGCTTCCCTGCCTAGGAGAGGTGCCAAACCTTTCTTGATTTGCAAATATGCTTAACTAATTTCCTGAATTTCTTTTAAGCAAATATTTGACATTGTACCAATTTGCTTTCAAAATTAAAATGAAGACAAGAGCAAGGGCACTATTGTTACTTACCGACTGAACGCAGAACTTGCGGATGGTGTAGTCCACCAGAACTATGCAATCTTCCACTGACACGCGGATATTTCCATAAGTCCAGCACCCTTGGTCAGGCCAATACTGATAACATTTTTCCTGTACAAACATACAGTGAGTTTTATAACACTGAGCCTGCTTTCATTGTTGGTCACTCATAAAACAATGAAGTTATTTGAAAATAGTGTACATAACTAGACATAGGAGCATGCAGAGGTTCTCATCTGGCACAATACAGCTTTAACACTTTGCTAGTGCTATTGATGCTTAAATTTAAGCACAGAAGGTGAAAATAGCTTTGAAGTTGTTTTTTAACCTAGCCAGACCTAAACAGCTTTTATTTCGGTTTGGTTTTTTTTGTTAGGGGGTGCCTAACTGTGGGGACTGTGATGTCTTGACTCTTTGTTTTAAGCTTTAGGCGTAGTCGGTGAGAGCTGCGAGGCAGTCCTCATTTGGAGTCATCAGGAACATCCAGATTTAACAGTTCTGGCTTCTCATACTGGGAATGGGCTCTTCTTATGGACTGCCTTTGCTATTTGAGCTTCAACAAGCAGTACTACAACTGCAGTAAAATAAAGCAGAAGTACCACCATGAAGAGGCAGACGAGGAATGCCCATCCTCATACCTGCGGTGAGCTGACAGTATCTGAATTATCTTTTTGTTATTGTAAAAAAAATGCACCCAATAGGTATGAAGGCCAACTTCCACACAGCGATATGGCACATCACGTCTCATAAGCACATCCTCATCTCCTTCCTAAGGCCAACTATGGCTGCTTATCCCCATAGTTCCCCATTAGCAGGAGAGATTGCCCTTGGGGGGCAAGAAAAGCCCAGCTCTCCGGCACTGGGTAGCTTCAGCCTCCTCCCCCTCTTCCCTCCCACAACCACCGGGGAAACAAGTTGTTGGTTTTTTTTCTTGGGCATAAGTCTTTGAGGACTTTACATGTATTTCACTTAAGGATGTAGCATGCTCAGTGTGGCAAACTGTCCCCCAGGGAAAAGAAAATAACTAAAAAGTATCTTTTATATTTCTGATGGTACATTTCCTTAATATTTTAATTTAGCTACTCAAGTTTGCGAAGCAGGAGTGAAGTTAAATGTTTCACGCTTGTTGCATGTGTCTCAGCATTCAGCCAGTACATGTAGAAAGTCTCACACAACGGGAGGATCGAGATGCATACGAGGAGGAATGGGGGACAGGAAGGAACATCATCACTCTCACAAAGCAGCAGCTTTGTTTTTTAATTGTTTTGTCCATGTGCCAGAAAGAATTTTCAAACCTAATACTCAGAAAAAATGAAGCAAGTTTTTATCTTCATTTCTAAGCAAACCTATCCACAAGCACAGCTTTATGCTGCGATAAAAACACAGGCACGAGAATTTGCCTTTGGCTATGGGCTACGCAGGACAAACTTAGCTATCGGAATTTTTTCCTTGAGATCAATTTATATAAATTTGTATTTTGGAGATGAAAACTGCATTTATGAGCAGAAACTTAGATGTGCTAGAAGGAAGAAGGAGAAGGAAGTGGTCAGAAAGGCGACTGGCCAGACGCTGAGCAGCCACAACTGCTTTTGGAGCATGCTCTCATAGAGACATCCCAGAGCAAACTGAAAGCTCTTTACCTCTTTTCTTTCTTTCAGGTTGGTTAACATGACGATAACTGCTGACTTCTGCTCCCATATCATCCTCCAGAAATCATTAACTGTTTCTTGCTTCGGTCCTGCAGACAGAATACAGCTCTGCTCAAGAGGGATGATGGAGACCAGCATATCACACAGTACGCATGAACACCCCCTGCCCCTGCGTGCCCACCCAGATCTGTGTTCACTACAGACTGCTCAGGTTTTGAATATACCACATATTTCTTAAAAAAATCCTATTTTCTTTTACACAATCGCATGCACTCAAATCCACATTTCTAGCAGATACCTCCTCTCTTGAAATATTCTTAATGCTCTTTTAAGCAGGCTACAGCAGGAGCATCATTTAGGATTTCTGCTTTGCAGCTCTCCCCCATACCAAGGTCCAACATTACCTGTGACCACAACGAACCACTGTCTGAGAGCAGCTCATCGTGCTGTGCGGGACAAGAGTATTTCTGAAGGGCAGAGGCAGTTATTGCTTTGTGTCTGGGATTGCGGTGACAAAGTTTCCCAAATTTGTGACTAAATACAGCGCAAGAACTCATGTGAAAATGCTGATTTCCATATCAAGATGGCTTAGACAGACTGTATTATCAGGAGACATCATTTTTCAAACCCCGAGTAAGGAGATTAAAAAGAAAGAGAAGGAAAGTGGGGGTGGAAGGGGGAAGGCGAGCCTCTTCACTCAGAGCACTATCTGCGGGTCTAAAGGCAGTGGGTTACCTCACGCTCACTTTAATTTCCTTTAAACTGTAACCTCTAAATCCCACCTCACATTTGGCCACCATCTGCAGCTGAAAATAACCTTTAAAACACATCTAAAATTAAATACATTCGGCCATAAGAGGTACAGAACAGAGAAATGAGAATAAATTACCTTGTGCTGCTATGAATTTATTCTTTTCTTTATAACCCTATGGAAATAAATATCAGAGCAGTTAAAAGATGAAATGCCAACATATGCTAGCAGACAAATACTTACGTAATTCACAGTCAAAGTTTGCAGTTTGGCCAACAGTGGACAACTGTCAACTTACATCTATATATGACGCATTAATGTAGTCTGAAGGTGGGACTCCATCGATCTGGGTCAAAATCACTCTGGAATGATCATCTGGAAGAAAACATATTACAAGCATGTTTGCACGTTAATCAGAAATCTGTTATTTCCTTGCAAGCAGGAGGCCAGGCTAAGCACACACTTCCCAAAGCAGCTCTCTCCTGTACTGTCCCTGGTTCTCATGAAGAAACTTTCTGCACAAACATCTTGCTTTGCTCCCACACCTGGAGGTCACTGGGACTGCAGCTCTACAATACTGGCAGCCCAAACTTCTCCCTATTTGCTTGCACCAAACTAACCTGAGATCCTAAAATATCCACTTGATGTAGCATAATTTGGTAGCACCCCATGAGAACTAAAGCTTTATAACACAGCACCTGATCACCGCTACAGTAAAACCGAACAGGGGAAGATCAATACTAGAGACATGCCACAAAACAGACAGGTTTTGCACATATAACGCATGAAGAACATTTGTGACCAGGGAAATTGTATTACTTGAATATTTTCAGCAGATGAACACTATTACCAGTCTGCTCAGTGCCAGAGTTAATTGTCTGATTTAAAAGAAAAGGCAATGTCTTACATGGCAGGATGTTAGGATATCTGTTTTTCTCCCTGTTTTCTTCCTTATTCGCCATTTCAAATGTTCCCTGCACATATCCAGGTGTTAATGACTAAAAAAAAAGATACAGAAGTCAATGTGTTAGAAAACAGCTAACTCTTGACTGCACATGGCTTAGGGAAAATCTGCATTTATACATATTGCCTTGCATCCAACAGAATCAAACTTTTTTTTTTTTTTCGCAATAACTTTCATTACTCTATAAAAGGAAACTACGTCCTGGCAGATTTCACTACAGAAAACGAGTTCAGCAGTTTTGGAAAAATAAGTAATTTTTCCGCCAGAGATCATAGTTATTTAGAAAATTGTTAAACTCTGAGCTGCTGCTTTAAGCTGCCATCTGCCGCGGTGATTCACAGCACTGTGACCCAGCCGCGTGGATGCGCTGCTCCCTCGAGCTCAGCTCCGACAGCTACTTTTAGCAATAACAGTTGGTTCAACAGCATAAATAGAGTTTGATTGTTAATGGCTCACTGCTAAGAACATTAAATATCAAACATCTTGCCGAGATCCACAGGTGAGGGCCCAACTCTGGCTGAAAGGGATGAAGAAAAAATAAATCACAATTCTTTCATGCCGCGAGTCGCTGCACGAGCACAAGTCAAATTCTGCAAGTAATCAGCAAGATCTAAGACTGCGGATAAATTTAGTCAAGCTTAAAAAAATATATATATAGTCTTGCAAAGTAAGCAAATGAAAGGACGAAATGGAGAGTAAGAGGGTGAAGATGAGAAGAAGGAGGTGCCCAAGGCCACGGCAGAAGCTGCTGAGATGCCAGCACCGAGGTCAAGTGGCCGATCATCATGTTCATCACGAGACGTGGCACGAGGCTCCTGCCCTGCACTTTTAGCTGCCCCCTCACTGCGAATGGCATAAATGAGAAACGAGTTTCATCAAGTTTCTTGTATCAAACTCCTAAAAAAAATACAGCGTCAGCATGTTGGATCCCACTGAGGTAAAATCCCAGTGGTTTGGGAACATACAACCACCTTCTTCCACCCTTCTTCTACCTCCCACCGCCCAGTCTGAATCACACAGGGGAAGGGAAAAAAATGGTAACCGACTGCACAGCTTAAAGCTCTGCCTCGCAGAGCGCAGGGCTTGGAATTTCCCCTTAAAAACAGCAATATGTGTTGGCAGGGTGACATAGGATAAAAGTGGGGGTGCGGGGAGGAATTCACCACCACAGAGGAAACAGCAACGTGCGTTTGTGGTTTTGGTTTTGGTTTTGTTTTTTTTTTTTTGTTATATCACTCAAACTTCTGAATGTAAGTAAAAGAGAGAGAAGGTTAAAAAAAGAGTCGAAAAAGAAAGCTGCTTTTAGCAAACTGCTTAAGTCCTTATTTGAATGAAGCCCATGGTTTTGCTAATTAAAATACATTTACAGTTTATAAAACACTGAAACTTAATTTATGTTTTGCGTAAAAAGAAATAATTGGCACTTCCAACACGATTTCTTCAAACTTCAAAAGTCAGGCAACAAATTCTGAATAACCAGTCATATAAGCTCTGCATCTTCACATGAAAAATGCATGAAAAGTAATTATCTCTGGCAAAATAATCTCTCCATTCCTTGCTCCCTACTCCTGCAAGGCCCTGACATCTCCCTAAAAACCTCCTAATGTCACGCTGCATGGCTTAGAGCAGGTGTTGAACCCTGGTGCAAGGACACAGCCCGTTTCGCTGCTCCCATCCATCTTCAGAGTGGAGGATGTGATTCATCAAGGATGCACTTCATCACGTCCTCTCCATCACCCCATGAATCACGAGGAGCCGATGAGTCTTGGTGGTGCTGGGTCATCTGCTGCCACCGCAGTCTTATCTGCTCCCACTTGGCAGGAATTCTAAAATCTCTCTGAAGCTTCCGAGGGGCTCAATCTACCCCAGCATCGGTGCATTTTCTCCTTTTTTTCACTGCATGAACCACAGGGATGTCTCAAGTCAAAATTAAAATTTCAAAAGCAAATTCTTAGAGGAAGGTTTTCAGACAGTAATCTGAAAATCAAGGCAATAAACCAGCCATCATAAACTTCAAAAATCCAGCTCATCTTGTGTTATGGATGATAAATAGAGGTAAGTACCTATACAGAACGGAATATGTTTTTTTTTCTTCTTTGTTTCTTTTCCTTCTGTTTAGAAAGTACACACTCTTCTTAGTGCTCTGTGCTCACAAAGAAATCAAATAGTAAAAAAATGAAGCAACTGAGGGTAGAAGGAGCCTCTGCTATTTTGGCTAGTGTACAAGTGCAACAAGTGCAATGTACTTCTTAAGGGTAATTTAGGCTTGAAGGATAAAATCAAAAATACTAAAGAACACCATTACGCACATAAATCTAAGAGAACTGCCCTCAAAAATCCTTTCCATCCGCTACATGTCTTCATCTATCAGCACTTGCTCTGTTTTTCTTTTCCCCAGCAAAATCACTTGGGACCTAACTTCTCTGGCTGGTGCACGTGCCTGGCCACCGCTGGCTCACAGGACTCACCATTTTCAGCCTGAATCTGTTTCAAATTCACAATGGAGACCCTGTATCTGTGTTCCCGGAAACGTCTGACCCCGCTGGCATGTTAGATCAGGCTGTGTGAAGAAAACACTGGAGCGGGCAGAGATGTCCCAGCACATGCCCATCAGCTGAGCATCCCCAGCCAAGGCTGCAGTCAGGGTCCACTACGGCTCAGCAGCTCCTGCCCAACAGCTTGTGCAAAGGGGACAGCTTTGGACCCATCCAAAAACTGCAGGATTTGGCAGCTACGGCTTTGAGGGGCAAATACAGGCGTAACCTCAGCCGGTGGGAGGATGGAGCTGAGTTCAGGGGCTCTGCGTGCCAGGGGATGCTCTGAAGGAGAGATCATTGCACAGATGTCTGTGCTGAAGGGTCTGGATTTCTCATCCCCTTTCCTTCCAGTGCTGCAATAACAGAGTTCTGTTTGTCAGCTTTCCTGGTTTACGCTACAATATCAATCACTCTGATTTTCAATTGTCTTTCACCCTTTCTTCCTCTCTCAGGCTTGAGCAAACAGCTCATATATCCACACAAGCAGCCACAGGAGATATACAGCAGGGAAAAAAAAAACCCAACAAAAAACCCAAACACATAAAGCATCAAGCAGACTTGCTGTGCCATCACCCCCTGTCACTGCTCAGACTGCTCATTTATGGGGACCGGACCCCAGTTTTCAGACTCAGCACTTTTGTGCAGACAAACTCACACGCTCACAGCATGGTGCAGAAAATGATCAAAGCAAAGCAGGTTTTAAATATAAAAATAGATGGCTTGTTTTGCTCCTAACTGCAGAACGAATTAATCAGGAGAGTCAAAATTCACAAGTGCACATCTTGTCAAATTAGTTTTCACATTCATTTTGTCGACTTCAATAAAAATCTCCACAATGCTCCCTCTCTGATAAGGCAAAGAAATTATGTGTTTTAAATATATCATCAAACAAATTGCAGATATAAATATGCTACCAATTAAGAAGGTAACTTAACAGACTGTCTAATCAATGCGTGCATCAGCTTTGACAACTCCGTATTTGACATTTAAGCTACTGCTCTGTGCCACTTGCTTCTGCTGTGAAAGGAAGTGAAGAGAAATAATAAAAAGTATGGAAAAGGTCCCTGAATGCAGACGTGCAAGAGCAGACTCATTGCACAGAGTTTCTCCATAGAAACCAGCTCTGCAGCAGCTCGCCGCAGACTCTGGTTAAGACTCATCTATACAACCACACACGACTGAAGCTCAGGTTATGGGCAGAAAATAAAACCTCCTTTCTGACCAAGGCAATGCTTTAAAGAAAACCCCTTAAAGTTAAGATGCTTCATAGAAACATATGTGCTAAGGCACAGGGTGCTGCAAATAGGGAAGCAATGGGATGGTAACAAAGAGCGAAATGTCAAATTACCAAAAACCCCCCACCAAAATGCAAAAAAGTCAAACCTCACCAGGGCAATATTAAAGGCCACACTGTGTCTTCTCCTCAAAGTACTTCCCATAGAGGTGAAACAGTCAGATTCCCAAAAAAACCCTCCACCACCACCAAGAAAATCAATGCTGAAGAGATTCATATTCAATTTTCCTCTCCTCCAGCTTTCAGGCAAACACTAAAGATCTTCTTTAAATGTTAGCAAGTGTCAAACAGTTTATATATTACCAATTTGGCATTGCCATATCATAAAGCAGTTAACGTTCCAGATTTTGTCCACATAAAGGGTTACCAGGTGTGACAGAGCATGTACGAACAGTACCAGCACACTCACACAACAAGTGCTGAGGCTCTGAGATACCAGCATCGTGCACCAAACATTCTTAAAAGAATTGTTAATATTTGCAGGCATTTTGTTTTGCCTCCCTGTTTTTGCCAGGCAACTATCTGCTCCACGTGTGAGGACTTACATTAAACTCCTCCCGGAAGAGCTTCCCTTCATCCGCTGATCGCATCCGAATTTCCTCTTCAAGATTTTCTACTGGAATAGGGAAATACTTCTTTGGGCCCGAGGGAGACCTACTGAGCAGCATGACTCGTTGCTGTTCTGTCGGTTCAAGGAAAGTATGTGTTAAAGGCAAGTCCAGAGCAATGGATAACAAGCTATTTCCAACTACAAATTAATTTTTAGGCTGGAAGATACCAAAACATATTTCTCACATGAGACTTCAATCGGTGATAAAGCTGATATAAATGAAATAAAAAGCAAAAACCACAGGCCAAGAGAACATCATAAATTCAAGTGGAACCACTACTGGTGAAATTAATAGTTTCTGTATTTACACCAGATTAAAATGTGACCAAGTTTTATTTAGAAGAGGAGAAGATTTCTTCAGCTGACGAAGAGCGTCCCAGCCCAGAGCGGCTATGCCACAGGGCAGGGACAGTTTTTAGCGTCTGTCACCAAGAGATGCTGCTAGATTATTTCATTTGTGAAGGGGAAATAATAACAGTAATAAAAAAATATCTTTAGCTTGGCAGACAACAGAAGCTCTGCAACCAGATGAGCTGTTGGAGTTGCTCTCCGTTGCCCCAGATGTCCCCAGCACCGGCTCAGCCCCGGCAGGAGATCGCTCTGCGCCAGCACGGTTCGGTACGGGGATTGCTGTGGGCGCTTCTTGCCACCTAGACCTCGGCTCGCGGTGGGGAATAAAGCCCCAGGACACCTTCACCTGCTGCCTTCACAGCCCCTCAGGAGCACAACTGGCCACCTGGAAATTCAAATGAGCATCCCCACCGGCGGCTGGATGAAGTGGAGGGATTAATCATAGAATCGTTTAGGTTGGAAAAGACCTTGAAGATCATCGAGTCCAACCATCAACCCAATCCCACCATGCCCACTAAACCATGTCCTGAAGCGCCACGTCTACGTGTTTTTTAAACACCTCCAGGGATGGTGACTACAACACTTCCCTGGGCAGCCTGTTCCAATGCCTGACAACCCTTTTGGTGAAGACATTTTTCCTAATATCCAATCTAAACTTCCCCGGGTGCAACTTGAGGCCGTTTCCTCTCATTCTATCACCAGTTACTTGATAGAAGAGACCAGCACCCACCTCACCACAACCTCCTTCCAGGCAGTTGTAGAGAGCGATAAGGTCTCCCCTCAGCTTCCTTTTCTCCAGACTAAATAACTCCAGTTCCCTTAGCCGCTCCTCATAAGTCCTGTGCTCCAGACCCCTCACCAGCTCCATTGCCCTCCTCTGGACACGCTCCAGCACCTCCATGTCTTTCCTGCAGTGAGGGGCCCAAAACTGAACACAGGACTCGAGGTGCGGCCTCACCAGTGCCCAGTACAGGGGGACGATCACCTCCCCGCTCCTGCTGGACACACTGTTTCTGATACAGGCCAGGATGCCGTTGGCCTTCTTGGCCACCTGGGCACACTGCTGGCTAATGTTCACCCAGCTGTTGACCATTCCCAGATCCTTTTCGGCCAGGCAGCTTTCCAGTCCCTCTTCCCAAAGCCTGTAGCGCTGCGTGGGGTTGTTGTGACCCAAGTGCAGGACCCAGCACTCGGCATTGTTGAACCTCACACAATTGGCCTCGGCCCATCGATCCAGCCTGTCCAGATCCTTCTGTAGACCCACCCTACCCTCCAGCAGATCGACCCTCCCACCCAACTTGGTGTCCTCTGCAAACGCCGTGGCAAAGACAACGGCAAACAGAGCGGCAGACCACTTCCCCACGCGCCGATAACGACGGGGTGGCTTTCAGCAGCTGCACTCGCCAACTAAATCTGGCCGGCGGCTGCACTAACCCTTCATCGGCCAAGGGCACTACCCGGCGCCAGGCCACCGCGGGGATCTCCAAACCGCGCTCGCCGGGGTTCCTGTGCCCAAACGCCGACTGAGCAGGAAGCCGACGGGTATATTTAGAGGTTTGACTTTCTCTGTGGCTGCCACCCTGTTTGTTAACCCACTCTTCAGCTCGTACGCAGCGACGTGGAACCGGCACGAAGACGTAATTCTCTTTATCATTTAAGTTTTTCTCTTTGTTATCGCTAAAATAATTTATGAGCAAGAAAGGGACGGTTCCTCCATGTTTGCTAGGTTTGAACTGAGCCCTACAGAGCAACCCACCCGAAGGGCTCCCCGCTAACGGAAATAAACCCAGCACATTGAAAAAGCCAGGGGAAAACATTTTCAGCTGCTGAGAGTGTTTTATTTTAGTGCCACTGGCTTACAATACTGCCCTATCTCATCCCCTGGCTTGTTTCTCTTTACGTTCAGGAACCAGCCAGTAATTTCACAAAGAGTTAAGGACACTTTTTTCCCCCTTTTAAGAAGAAATACTGCAATTCTTTCCCTAAATACAAAGATCACAGCACCAGAAACCTAGATCTCAGCTGGCATCCTAATAAAACATATATAAAGAGAACAAGAAACATTTACAAAGAAACATTTGCTATAGTACAACTTAAAGTGAAAATTATTTAAAACCAACAACCGCAAGTTAAGATTACATATACACCAATACGGACCTCTATTTTTTCTGCTTTCTCTGTAATAACAATCCTATAACTTACATTACAAATAAAAAGCAAACATAACTGAATTCTTAATCAGCAAACAAGCATGTGTGTACACAAACAAAATTCACACTGAGAAGGAAAGCAAATCTCTCCATACCTTGTTCTTCTAAGATCCCATTTGGCATCTTTTTGTCCCCGGAGTTCACAACAGCTTTCCTATGTCTTCTAAACCTGAAATACACACAGTATGTTAAGCTGAGCAACTATGTTGAAAGGTAAGAAGCATTTTCCCAAACCAGTCTTTACCAACCATGTAATTCTGGAGAAACTCTTTCTGTTCATCTTCGCCGTGAGAACCACCACCACTGCAGCACCCTCCTCTACGCTGTGATGGAGGCTCCTGCCTCACCGTAAGTACGCATTTCTCATTTCCTTGTTAGATCATATCGAAACAAGACTGAGCCAGTTCTGCATGCAGAGCTCCACACAGACCTACCTGAAAAAATAGCCAGCCAACAGAATGAAAATGATGAAGACCAAGAGCAGAATCAGCATTGAAGTCAGTAGGTCCTTGTGTAAATTGTTCTCCTCTGTAGAGTCTGTGGATTGAACAAAGCAAAAGTGAAACATTAGAGACATGGATTGCTTAATCTGTTGCAGAAACTGTGCTTGGTGCACCAAAAAATCTGTGGTTCTATGCAGTAATCTGCTTGTGCTTACTGAAAGCATCACAAATTATTTAATATATGCAAAGCTGAAAGTGAAAGTTCAGTTTTGGTGTTTGAGTTGGTTTTTTTCCCCCCTTCAAAAGCACAACCAAACTACCTGCTGCTGAGAGTATCAAGGATATTTTTTGGAATGACTGGTTAAGCAAAGATTTTACTTGTAGTTAGAGTAAGTTTAACAGGTACAAGTTAAATTTGAAGCAGTACCCTTATGTGCATCAGCTGTTTCTCAGCCAGACAGAAATCACCAAAGAATGCCACCCCTGTATAGATTTTATTGACTCCAGAGATACAACGTGTTTTAAACATATCTCATCATTTAATAGTCCAAAATACTGCTGCTGGCTACAGGGCTGTAAAGCACATGCTGAGCATGACGGAGGGGGAAGGCAGGAGGGAACAGTGCAAACTGCAGCGTCTTCTATGGCTTGTATTAGATATAACATATATATTATATTATCTATTACTATAAGAACAAGTAGAAATAATGAGACTTTTAACAAATAGAATGGAGATTTAAAAATATATATCTTTGTTGTATCTAGTATAAATTGCAAGTCTAATCCTTCTGTTAATAGTGTTTTTATGTATGTGACTCTTTACATTTCAGCTTCATTATGCTTTTGTGACCTTTTAATTCTGCTGAATGATTCAATGTACTAAAATCATTAAAAACCCAACATGTTTTATTTAAGAAAGAAGAACTCTCAGCCTTACCCTTCAGCAAGCAAAATACAACCCTGCTACTTGTTTTTCTTTCCAACCAGACAAATAAATCCAAGTTAGTGTAACAGCGGTGGTGGAGACCTCGCCAAGTGGGAAGGATGAGTCCTTCACACCTGGAATTTATTGCCCATGCCACAGGACACAGAAAGAGGTCGATCTTTCCTCAGTTACGGCCACAGGAGCCAGCCGAGGCAGCAGCCCACGCTTAGGGCATCTACCAGGATGGTTCCCTGTGTGTCCAGACCCGCCCCCCGTTTCTCCATCGTTACACCAGCCTTCCCCAGCCTCCTTCATTTGCACTGTTTAGAAATCTTACCAATGTACACTCTTCCAAAAGCAATTTTTGTTGCTGCTGGTGTGGTGGTTTTTTTTCTTTTTAAGCTACATTTACACACTTTTAACAAGTTCTTCACCATTCCTACAGCAGGCTTTGAGAACTGCAGCAGTGATTCTCCTAACACATCTTGCATTCACACTTCCCTAAACTCTTTTTGTTTACTTGCAGCAAAGGCTTTTTGAAGAGATCTTGCACAAGCCATAAAGTGACACAACATAAAGTATCATGAAAGCACAAGACTACAGTAAATATATAGGAGTATGTAACAAACACCTGCAATATTACAGAAAAGAGCTCATATGGATAAACCGACTGACCAGAATTGATCACTGAAAAACCATTTGAGCATTGGTTTGTATATTGTAAGCATCTGGAAACTCTCCGGATGCTCAAACAGGGTGTTAGGGCACAGAAAAACTTCCTTTAGAGGCATAGGTGCACTAGTGGCATACAAGGAAAAAAGGTATCTCAAGTCAACATAATAGTACAAAGAAAGGGAAGGCAATAAAATGCATGAAATTTGACATTTAAGTGGTATATAAAGATAAAAGTGACAGGCATGACAAAACTGTAATCAGAAACCATCACTTGACAGGGTTTCAGAAAATCACTACTGGAAGGAGTGTCTGGATGAACGTGCATCACCAGAAACAGCTTAACAATTTCTGTGTGGTATTTAGCAATACCGCACTCTGCATAGAAACCAAGGTCTGACAAACAAACAAACAAAATATCTATTTTTGCCCCTCACAAGCAAAAAGGAGCGACTTTAGCCCACTGTTGAAGTTTAGAAATTTCAGACTCAATATCTTGGAATCTCCAGGATTTAGGGGTTTTGTGTTAGGTCTCGTCACTGGCTCTGTGTCAAGACCCATGACACAAGGGGGGAAAAACAACAAGTTTGAGTCACAAGGGAATTAAAATTTCCCTCAGTTCATTACACAACACAGAAATCACCCATCTTTTCCTTTCAGAAGGGCTGATATACTCACACCACCAGTGTCTTTGGAAAACTGATTCCCAGACAAACACAGAAAGCCTCAATCCAACCCAGGAGAAGAGAAATTCAATCTCCTGCTGGACTACTGTCTACATTTCTTTAGCTAAGCACAGAGCAATTCTCTGCATCAAGATCTCACCTCTCCTCCTCCTACCCATTTCACAAGGAAATTAGGTCAAAACCCACAAACAGCCCCTTCTAATCTGTACACGGGCACATCTGTTTTCAAAGCCTTGCAGTGGCACACCAATAGCTTCACCTCTGCAGAGCCTGTGTGTAAGGCACAGTGTGGTTTTAAACAGTTTCACTTATTACCTGTATTTGCTTCAATATCTGCAACGAAAATTTTATAAATGTAGCCCAAAAATTCTAAGAGAAAGTTACAACTGGGCTTAGGCCATTGTAGACTCAAAGGCTGAAAGATCATTAGCCAACACAAGTGTCTACATGTTAAGTGGGATTTTAAGGGGAGACTGAAAGACAGACCTGTACTACTTTTTTTTAATCAGTGCTGCTTCAAAAATTGACAACTGAAACATATGAGTAAATGCATGCAGCCACTGCCAGGGAAAATTTTCTACTGCTCCAACACAAAAAGAGAGCTGTGGTCCAAAACCACAGGGCTTTGTGTTCGCAGCCCCACAAAGAAGATCATCCCAAGGGTGTTTTTTTTTAGAAATACAATGAAAGAGTGACTTTCATCTTGACAAGAGAGGAGGATTATCGCCAGGAGGATGGTGGCAACCCCTTGTGCTTCCCCTGCCTCCCACCAAGGCTGACTCACTGGTTCTTCCCGGCTTCATTCCCTGTGCTGCTGGCCCAGCCGTCGGGACAGCTCTTTCTGGAAACGTATCACCATCTCCTTCAGGGTTATGATGTTCCCACTTTCCGTATGTGTCAAAAACAAAACCACCCACAAGAAAAAAAGGGAACTAACAGCAGCATATGCACATCAGTATCTGCCCTGTGATCCTCCCTCCACACTCTCTCCCAAACGTTGATTTTCTTCATCCCGTTATCAGTTCCTTTGCAAGTAGGACCTGAACAGTAAAATGGCCTGTGAATAAAAGTGTGATTAAAGCAGTTTTTTCTCCCTCCACAAAAGCAAGCTAACAAGGCAAGGTGTGTAGTTTGCCCTAGAAAGCAAGCCAGGTACCTGAAATTATTCTGGTGATTGACAAAGAACAGACAAGATATTGTTTATCTCAGCACAACAGAAATCCCACAACAACAGGCTCTATTTACTCACAAGTCTGAGCTTCTTTTCAAAAAACAGGGAACTTAACCCTCCATCTCTCCAAAACTAAAACTAAACTGCTCTCACCCATTATTTGGGTTAGATTTCAAGTGGTTTTTTTCCAGGGTCCATCCTCCATCTCTTCTGTCCCTTCAGCAGACACACAAATGTCCTTTAAACAGTGCTCAGTCAAATCCAACCACCAAGGCTTTTGGGCAGTGACACGTGCCTCTGTTTTGGGTCAGAACTGTTTCAGACATCCAGCTCTGCAAAGGACACCGACCTCCTCCAACATTTATTTTACATGAAGAGTGGCTGTCACAACCTCTTGACACAGACCTTATCCATCACATGGCAAACACAGTGTGCTCAATCTTAAGTAGTGCCATGTTATAAAATTTATGATTATTAATAGACTTGTGGTCAAATTTTAATAGCGATGTTTTGTCACCTGCAGGCACAAAACCCAGCGCTTCCCAGTTTACCACAGTTTTGGTACTTACACACAATTATCAGAGTTAATGCATCCCCCAGGCGTGTGATACAAGAGCTCTTAGACACGTCTCTGCTGAAGAGCTCAGTCCAGCTTGCATCAACTTCTGCAGACAACTCACCTGCTTGCCGTGCAAGACCTCACACATTAATTTAGGGGATACTTCAGACCAGATAATCTATCGTGCATGAAAGCGTTGAGTATCTTCCATATTACTCCTTCAACTGTTCATGTTTCAAAGGGCAAGGAAGCATCTTCAATTTTTATGGTAGTCTTTCAGTGCTCCTCACATGCCTCACAGAGCAGGTAACTCTCAAAATTCACTGGGAGCAATCACAGGGAGCGGCAGAGCTCACCAAAGCACACACAGCCACCGGACAAAAACCCTTTCATGTTACCACCTTGTTGCGGGTACCGGGATGCTACTCGCAGTGCAGATGCCCATGTGGCTCAGTCTGTCCTCCTGCCATTGTTTGGACTGATGCTAAGGTTAAGAGACAGTCAAGTGACATATTTTGGGTAGTCCTTAGTACTTCTTGTGGACATAGGCATTTTTGAAGTGTTTGGATGGGTTGAGTAGCAGAGTATTTAAATTATTTTTTGTTGGTGTTGTAAAAACTTCTGCAAGTGCTTAACTTCTGTTTGCTGAACTTTCTGTTCAGATTTAAGAGTGATTGATTTATTATAATTAAGCCTCTCGCACTGAGAGAGTGCTTAATTAATCTGCATGTGCTTTCTATACGCTGAAAACCTACAAGTGAACTCAATAAAAGGAGAAGTCTCCTCCTTTCTCAGTTTTTATCTAGCCACCATGCCTCCTTGAGATCTGGTTGAACTTTGCTGCGATGACTGGGCAGAAGAAGTCTACCCATGCCAACAGGGATATCACAAAGTACAAACTAAGCTCTCTCACGCTATTTTTGGAAAAGAAAAGCCCAGCCCTGCAGAGAATTGCTGTGCTTCACCGTGCCTTGACTGTGGAGAGGAAGCAGATATGCAGCTGATAACCAGGAGGTGCATTTAGTACACATGAAAAACAAACCCAAATTAAAAAAAAAAATAAAAAAAAATAAATGAAGGGCAAAGGAAAAAGACCAGTAGGGAAGACAAACCAGTGCCCACAGCCTGCAGTACACAAGAAGGGAAGCAGCAGCAAATGCAAGAATCGTGCCTGCGTTTGCCATCCCAGAGCCAAAAGCCGCACAGCCGGACCCAGCACAGCCCTGCCACTGCAATCATGGAACAGTTTGGGTTGGAAGGGACCTTTAAAGATCATCTAGTCTAACCCCCAACCCCAAAACACCGATTTCTGAAGTTCTGCTTTTCAAACTAATTCTTGAAATTGAGTATCTACCAGCAAAGCATCCCTTTGGCTTTTAAATACCAAGTAAAATGAGCCAGCTTCCTTCTTCAAAACTCAATTTTCTGATGATGCCTCATCTTCTACATGAAAGAAGCACCATGAGTCTAGCGTGAAAAGTCCCCATCTCTGGGTCCCGTTCTGGCTATCGTATAGCAAGACTTCAGCCTTTCGATACATTGCTTCAGTCATCTTCAAAGACACCCACTAACCTCTTGAAAGTTTAAACCAGCAATAAATAAGGCATCAAAAGCTGCCTTTCAACCTCCCACTGATCTGATAAATTCATTACCTCTGCATGTTAATACATCGGTAGTGGAAAGAAATTGTAAAGATGGGCATGAAACCCATGAAATATTCATGGAGTAAACACTAAAGGAATTTAAACACTTGGAAAGGACTTAAAAGCGTTACTACTGAAACTCCCAGGCTGCTTTCACATTTAAATTACATAACAAGTAAAAATACAAGAGAAGTAAAAGAATCCTGACTATGATTAATACTGGATAATTAATTAATATCTGAGTAGCCAGGAATTATTTGAAAGCTATGGACAGTATCATGTCTAAATAGTCTGTCACACATATTTGATAGCATAAAGTTTTATCTACTTGAAATACACTTTTTTTTTAATGCAAATCCCAATAAATAAATAAATACTGGTTCATATTTATTTAATACAGTTGAATACTCTGGGTGAATGGCAGTGCAATTTCTCCAGTAAATGGCAGTGCAATAAAACCCAGAAAATTCTGATTTTATGAAAGGGAAATTTCATGGTAGCAATTTCACAGTACTCTTGTAGGAAGCGAAATGGCAGTAGTGCTGAAAAATTGAGCCATACAGACTAGGTATCCATGTTTAAAATAAGAATAAACCCAACATTTTAATTCAACAAGTGTTTTAAAAATCAAGTCAGCTAAAATAATGACATGCAATAAATTGTAACTATTCCTTTCAGAATCAAAAGCATCTTATCTTTTTGGATCATTCATCAAATTAGCATGCAAAAGGAAAGCTGGGGTTTTTTTAGTATCCTTCAGTTCTCTCCATATTCTTTTAAATGGCTTTTTCTTGATACTTCAATAAAAAATCTTTATTTTTGTATTAAAAAAATTGTATTAGTTCAATGGGTATTAAATGTATTAAATAATCCTATTATCTTGGAACTTTCTATACAGCAATGTATTTTCAGTGTGCACGTACTTGTCTATCAGACAAAACTCTTCTTCGCTTCTCACTGCAAAGTAATGAAGCCTTTGATATTCAGGAAAAAACAGTTTAGTCGTACTAATCATTTCTAAATCGTATCACTGAAATTAAGATTTAATTAAAACACAGACGATGAGATTACTCTTACCCATATTATCATACTTAAATTCAACACAATTTTGAATTAAGCTTTGAAGATGAACAGCATCTATGGAGAAACTCCCTTTTCACTAATTTGATTAAAATTCTGGGAAGTGATACAACTAACAAGTTACTTCCCTTTCCCAATTCCCATATTCTTACATATTCAGACCAAAATTAGTAACTTGTTCTCCTACTGCTCCAGATGCCAGACAAGAAGCAGGGCACTGACAACGACTTGACAATATTTCAGCAGAGCCATTTATTGGCAAATTTATACTTCGCTCAATTTCTAGATTTTTATTTATATTAGCAATTTATTTATTTTGAAAGCCCTAAGCAATAGAACACTAAGATTGTCATTACTAACCATAGAGCCCCTTGCTGCCCTAACCCTCCACTTCCCCTGTGGTGGTCTGTTAGTGCTCACCTCCACCTCCACTCTTCTCCAGCCTCAGATTTTGGTGAAAGCAAATGCCTAACACCTAAATTACTACAACTGCCGTTTGATTCTTGCTTGGCTCTCCTTCCATACAGGTGTAAAGTTCACAGGCAGATTAAAAATAAACCGACCAAACCAACCACAAAAACACCCTCCTATAAAGACTGGATGTCAACAACGGTCACCTGAAAACTTATCAAGATTTCACCACACTGTTTATATGGAACATCATCAGCTTTATTTCCCTTCAACCAAGTCCACAGAGCAGCTATCCCTTCGGAAATCCCTCTCTGACATCAGCATGACGTCACGCACTGCCACCGCCTCAACAGCAAACCACTGCCTGACAAACACTGCTCACCAGCATAGGGATTTCGAAGATAGCATACAATTATGAAGGTTAAGGACAACATGCAAGTAAAATATATCATCCCATCACAGAACATAATAGTAGAATCAGTATCTTAAATAAGAAACCCAAACAAACCCTTATTTGACTTGAACAAACGAACCCCTCTCCAGGACGGTAACGCGTTAGGATGCAGTTGTAGGAGGACTTAAAGCAAGAGGATGAAATACCAAAAATAGAAATGAGGATGAATAAAAGATGCTGTGGTGCACCGGTGAGTAGAAGACTGCTCTCAGGTGTTTGAAAAAGGCTTTTTCATTTTTCACCTGACCTAATCTTATGCAGGACATCTGCATTATTATCCACCTCCTCGAGTCTTGCCTTAGACAGCTCCTATCATTAGAAAACACGGAACACACATAAAGACTGCATGTCCTCATGATGTTTAAATATATTCATCCTGTTGTCTAACTGATAATTTCTTTAATTCCTATTATCTGTGTCCAGGTCCCATCACGTTGGAGACCCACAGTGACAGCTCCTGGGGCGTGCAGACCTTGCAGCCTCGGTGGGAGGAGCCATCCTGTGCTTTCCCACCTCTCCCAAAGCTATCCTCTGCATTTCCCACACATGGGAAAGAGAAAGTAAAGCATACAGCACCAGTCATATGGAGATCAAACACAAAGGTCATCTGGCAAGATTAGAAGTGTATTTGTGGGGTCAAAGTCCTGGAAAAATATCCAGGACTATGTCACCAGGAGAACCTCACCAGAAGTCCCTTTCCACTCCCATCCCCGTAAATGAAGTGATGTCCTTACTTGTTGTTGTTGTTGGTTTTGGCAGTTCAGTTCCATTGGGTGGTAAAGCTTGTGCAAACAGAAAACTAACACAGAGCAGAAGGAGCGAGCAGGAATGTTCCATCCTGGACCTAAAAGAAAACAAAAGCAAAAGATAAACTTTCAGGTCAAATTACTATTACGTTTTTTCCTCAGGTCAGAAGAAAGCTAAAAGAAAAAAAGAGACATTCACTTTAGATGAGGGAAGTTTTAAAACTTGTTTTATACTCTCCCACTGCCTTATCACTTAACTTTCAGCTTTGATGCAGAAGGAAGAGCAAAATACCAGTTGCATGCACTAAGAATTCATTAAGAATGTTTTAAATCCACGAACAGGAAGATAACGCTCAGCCATCGTTCAAAGACAACGACAGAAATCAGGCCAGAAAAGCTACTCTACATCAGTAAAACACAGCAGCTGAGGACACTGAGGCAAGGAGTCTGGAAGTCATTTCCATAGATAAGAACAAAACTCCTAAGTACCAGCAGCTGGAATCTTGGGAATAAATGCAAATCTTGAGAATAAATGCAAAAATCATGTATTTTTGGTGATTCCTGCCATAATTGCATGTCTTATGCCTTCTGCAAAGAGCACAAGTAGGAGCAGTGAGGGCTGCAGGAGGGGAAAGCAGCCCAAAACCCCAGCGTGGCCAGACCCTGTCTTAAGGGTCCAAGTGACTTTCTTCCACGAGACCAATACTTCACACACCGTGTAACTTCGACACACAATCTTGGCACCACAAATGCCTGGAGACCAAAACAAAGAGGAAAAGCTTTTACCAACCAAGCAGACCAGTAACAACCATAAAGTTTAAAGTACCTAGAATGAGCACTTTGCAGAGTTTCCTTATCCCACCCTTGATCTCCTATAGACATACATATGGTGCTTCATAGATGTTCCTCTGGAGTACACGTGTGTCACAGCTATGAGTCCGCGAGCTAGAAAGCGTTTGAACAAAGCCTTCCAAATACAGAGAATTTCAGGTTTCATGAGACCAGAAAATAATTTCTGATGTAGAGAAGATTAGAGAAAAAGTGTGATGAGAATGTGCTGCTGAAAAAAGTCAGGGAAATTAATTGTTGTAGATAAATGAGCTGGTCTAGAAACATTCTAGTCCCTCTAAATCAAGGTTTTTGTGGAAAAAATAAATGTTGTTACTAATTTGCTGTACATTTATCCAGTCCCTAATGAACATATTAATTATAAGAGGCTGCCATCTCAGCCATTAGCCAGTCTTGCTTGATTTAAAAATAATTTCTTTGGCATCACACGCAAACATTACTTTCTGTATTTTGCAAATGGCAGAACACATCCAGATGGTGGCTCTACATCCATTGCTAAAATTACAACCATTGTAATACTGCACAACACAGCTCCCCAGTGCTTCAGTATGATATATTTAATATTACAATTTCCATGGATATTGTATAGTAGTGCCTAACAACAGACAAAAAAAATCCAGGAACTTTGCAGTCATTAGAATAACCATTAGAAAATCCTTCCTTTCAATGTAAAATGGGATAATCCACCAGAAATAATCTCTGGATAAGCGCAAATGTATAAAAAACTTCTGTAACAACAACTTTCGCACCACCTTTTCGCCGCTCTCACATGCGTTATTCAGAAGCGTACATTATTCCCCACCTTTCTGCTATACCTAGGACTAAACTCAAACTCAGCACACACCTGATATTCTTTAAAAAAAGAAGAGAAACAGACCTAAAAATTAATTCTCTCACACTTTGAAGGGATGTCAGCAGTAGCAAGGCTCTCACCAAGCCGGGCACAGGAGCGGCCAGCACGGGCTCTGCTCAGCAGAGCGCACCCGAAACTGCAGCTGCCTTAGGGAGCACACAGACCCTTGAAGGAAAAGCATCAAGTAATCTCATCTGATATTACAATTCATTATTTGTTTTCTTTTTCAAGGCTCTGTTAGATACAGAGCAGCCCTTCTGCCCGCTGAAAGTACTGAAAGCACGCTCAGTTTACCAAGGTAACACCTTCCAGAAGGGATTGCAGGCTGCTTTCTATCCATTGGCCCTAAGATGCTATGTTAAATTCTTCCAAGTTTTATGAGTATATAGGAGTACGAAAAAAATGAACACGAAAGTAAAAAGACAAAATATATTTTCTGAGAAAAAAAAAACCACCCACATATAAAACTTTTTTTACACAGGAGCACACACTTAATAGCATTTCTTTATTCTGTCTCCCCATCTCACAGTTTGGAAGCTCAATGGATCTTGCTCTAACATAATGAGTGAAGTAAGAATAATAAAAAGTATTATTAGCATCAAACTTTATTTTCTTAAATGTCTTCCCCCCCCACCCCAGTCCAGCTTCCTACTGACAGATTTACTTATTCAATTCCTTCTACTACTGTTTATAATTTAAGCAGACTAGATGTCTCAAGCTAACAGGCTTAGTCAACAGCCAGGTTAACCCTGAACTAGCCATTCTTAGGATTAGACAACTAATTATGCATAATGGCTTATTGCAAAATGTATCAGCATTACCATCACATGCAGACCTGGTCTGACAACTGCAACGCAGCTTTGTCGGCAGCAGACCCCTCCTCCTCCTCTGAAACACTCCAGCTTTGAGAAATAGCTTTAGCCAGGACTAACTAGATAAAATCAAAACCATTTATGGTTTTGTTATGACAGTCACCATAGTAAGGGACCATACTGATACCAACTATATGAAGTTTTATACCTAGGCTGCTTGGGCTGAGTTAAACAAATATATATTCTCAGTCTTGTCTATCCATTGTAACAGTTGAGTAAGAAGTTAATATTTAGATGTTGTAGGAAAAAAAAAACAGGCTGTATTAAAAAACCAACCAACCAACCAAACAAACAAAAACCAACCCAAATTTAAGACAATCACCTGCCCTAAAAATCCCCAAGGCATTGTGAATTTTTCTGTTCAGCAAAACAAACACCCCCAGTGGAATTTGGTGTAATTTTGGAAGCAACCTATATTAAAAAAAACTGGTAAGGCTACATTGTATTTAGCATTATATATAACCTTCCAAAATTTAACAATTTAGAATTATAAAGCAATAGTATGCTGGAAGCTCAAAACATGCAGCAGCAGTTTACATGAACTGAGGGGAGGGGAAAGGAAGGAAGAGGATTTGGAAATCTGGAATAAAGCCAGAATAAAAGTGGAATCAACAGGGAAAGGGGCTGGCATTGCCAGGAACGAGGTGCTGAATGCTGCACTCCACCGACTGCAATGCTTTACACCCTCGGCAAAGGTTGCTTAAATCCACTGGCCGTTCGAGTAATCAATTCCAGCAGTTACAGTGAGCTGGTTGCTGAACGGTTTTACAGCATGGCGTTGAGCTCACCAGCTCACCCTTAAAATACATCCATCTCTTTAAAAAAAATAACCAAAATAATTGAAGTTGCTGGCAGGTTTCTAAGAGACTGGCAAGTGTAAGGAACATCAACATTTCTCACAGAATTACCATTATAAGGGTTGTACAGATAAAAAAAACCACGCCAGACATCTTGTATCTGTTCTCTTGAATGTGATAAAGTGTAACTTGAGTATATATTCAGTGCCCCACAATTTGGTGGAAATAAACACATCTTTGTAGATGTGTTTGTGATTATGCAAATTCTGGGATCTCATTTTTGTCCTAAGCACTGTCCTGGTTTTGGCTGGGATCGAGTTAGTTTTCTTTCTAGTAGCTGGTACAGTGTTATATCTTGGGTTGGTATGACGATAATGTGGACAACACACTGATGTTTTCAGTTGTTGCCAAGTAGTGTTTATACCAAGTCCAGGATTTTTCAGCTTCTCCTGCCCAGCCAGCAAGAAGGCTGGAGGGGCAAAAGAAGTTGGGAGGGAACACAGCCAGGACAGCTGACCCCAACTGGCCAAAGGGGTATTGCATACCATGTGATGTCATGACCAGTATGTAAACTGGGGGGAGTTGGCCTGGGGGCGATCGCTGCTCGGGAACTAACTGGGCATCGGTTGGCAAGCGGTGAGCAATTGCATTGTGCATCACTCGTATATTCCAATTCTTTTATTATTATTATTGTCATTTTATTGCTGTTGTTATAATCTTTATTATTTTCTTCCTTTCTGTTCTATTAAACTGTTCTTGCCTCAACCCACATGTTTGGTGTTTTTTTTTTCCCCCGATCCTCTCCCCCATCCCACTGCAGGCGGCTGGGGGGGAAGTGAGCGAGCGGCTGCGTGGTGCTTAGTTACCAGCTGGGGTTAAACCACAACGAGCACTTTACACTTCTGCTTGCTAAAGAAAGAAGGATTAAAACTTACAGCAAATTTAGGTGCCGCAGCAAGAGACTGAGCTTAGCACGATCAAGCACTACTTGCAACCAAGTAGTAAGTACTCCTCTTCAGACTGGGGTGGATGGGGAGGTGAGAAAGTTGCAATAACATCAAAACACTGTAAGCTTTACTGTATATTTATGTATTTCACATACAGGACCTCAACTATATAATTTTTTGAAACAAAAAGCTCCACAGACACAGCAGCATTTTCCATCCTCAAGAAGGTACAACATCATGATAAACTCTGTTAAAAAAAAAAAAAGGTAAAAAATAATAACAACTCCTCTTCAGAGGAAACAGGCAGGTAGAAAAGCACTGCTGAACAAGAAAGGACAACTGCATACTACAAAAGAAGCCTCTTGTTGATAAAATCAGAAAGGAAAAGATCCAGGTAGAGACATACGCTGTCGTTATTACATGGCTTTGCTGTAAGGGAACTGCTGCCCCGCCTGGAAAAAGAAATAGGAACTGCTTTCATAACCGTATGGGGATACAATGCAGTTTTATCTGCTTACATCCTACTACCTCCAGCCCTTATTTCCTGGATATGCATGAGTAAATGGCTCAGGCACTTAAGCTTTAACTCCATGGACTAATATTTTTTTTTGTAGCAAAGGATTCTTAGCTATTTCTGATTATCTGAAGCCTTAAAATGGTGCCAGAGATTCCTGTTACAACCACGGTTTTAAAAGTCTGCATTGTTATAGGTAAATGCTTCTACGTCCAACAGAGAACTTGATCCTATGACAAAAAAAAAAAAAAGTCGCTGT